TCAGAAAGTAACACATACTTATTATACATCTCTCAGCAATCCTGAAAGCCTTAAGATAACAAATTTTGAAAGCACTAACCCTGTTTCGAGGGTCATCAAACATCTGCAGTCTTTCTCCAACATCAGGAGTAGGATTCAGAAGATCAAAAAGCTCCTCATTATAGATCTCCAAAAGAGAGACTTTCACTGAAAATTCAGTACCATTCTCTGTGAGTTTTTCAAATATTTGATGCAGTGTGCGGGGTATTATACCAGCCAGTGGGTCCTATAAATTAAAAAGAAGGATTTAATTTATAAATGTACTTGGGGTTGCGGGGTGGAGTTTCTACTAAACAGCTTGATTGGATATAAGCAAGAATACTTTGGACAAAGATGATCTTCCATATAAAAACTGCCAAGAGTTGTATGCAATACATTAAAGATGTAAAGTTTTGCTTTTCACTTGAATGAATGAGACCACTTGTTAATCTACAAACAGTTAAGGAAAGTTAGCTTCAGAATTTGAAGGACACCAACTCTTAGTTTTCTTTAGCTTTCTGCAGTTTCCAACTTTGAATTAGTACAGGCAAGAGAAATCTCCGAAGTGAAAATATACCTCTTCCCAAGTATATTCCTCATTGGGTGACCGCTCCCCTTCCATTGTGAAGGTCTTACCAGTACCAGTTTGGCCATAGCTGTGAGAGCAAAAATAAAAATGTAAACAAGAAACTGAAATTCAAATAAAATTCCCTAATAATCATTACTGGCTTACTTACGCAAACACGGTACAGTTGTAGCCCATAATAACTTCATCCAAAATGGGACACACAACACTCCGGTATACATCAATCTGCTTAGCCTGAGGTCCAAAAACCTATTGACACAAAGACAACACATCCCATTTATCTGTACAATAACGTATAGCATCACACTGTACAGCAATGAGACCACATTAGAGAAATGTACTAGCTTGTTTCTAGAAGCGCCCAAGTTGACAAGCAGTCACCAACCATATCAAATGTGTAAGTCTTCTTTGATGTCTTATCTGTCACTCCTCCAGTGCGGACACTAACTTCCTTTCTTGCTTGATCACAGTCTACAACAGGATGGGAGCTTGCTTTAAGTTCTGAGGCATTAAAAGGCCTAAAAAGACAGGAGTTAAGAAAATCTGATTGATATCATTGCTAACAAGAACAGAAACTGATGAAGCAGTAACATCGCTCAGTTTAAGGATCTAGAAAAGCATAACTGGGAAAAAGGAACAGAGTTTTTAACTTAGTTTATTTAATAATTGTTTAAGAAAAAAAATGCAACCGTTCGGCAGCTTAAAGACCCTCCCTTTCCTTCTGTCACTGAGGGGCAAATCAAGTGTCCATAGCTCTTTATTACATCTATTTTTAACAGGTCCATAACCACTTTAAAGGTCATTTAGATGCACACATAGCTAAGATGCATTAGAACGTATTCTTCAACTGCAAGGGGGTAGCAGATTCATCCTACCAAACAGTTCTACAAATAAGAGCATTTGGAAGAGGAAAACACTTATACATGCAAGTTAGGGCAATAGTAAATCAAACTAACTTTAAAAATTTCCTCTTTTGTTTTTCATTTACACAGACAACAATGCCTACATCTCATGCCAATGATGTGAGCCAGAAGCACCAGAAATACCAACACACCCTACTAACTGCACAACAGAAAACAGCAATTTCAGAATCTTTATAATGGTGATGCATCTGAACATAATTTAATAAGACAAACAAAACAGATTCTGGGGGGAAGTTCCCATTAATTAAAACTCATCAAAGTGAAAAAGTTTAATAGAGGTGATAAAAATTTTACGGTATGCATTTTGTTTCACCACTAAGTTAAGTCAAACCTGACGCACAATTTTCCTTGAAGGGACATTTGCAACAATTTCTTGCTAAAGCATGGAGATGACTGCAGGCTGAAAACTAATAGCACGAAATCCCATTTTATTACTCATTTATTAGCACTACTGCACTGAGTGCCTTTAAAATATTTTAACAGAGACACTTCACGTGCTCTCTAAGTTACGTTAAAGAAAAAACTAAACAAAACACAAAAAACCCACAAGCACACGGCATCTCGAGTTTCCTGACCCTTGTGGCTAATATTTCTTCTTCAACATAAAACTGAGGTTGAAGTGTCAGATTCTAAACAGACCACCAGCCACTTTGGTGCAAGATTGACAGCTGACAACAGATGATCACTAAAATCTTGTTAGCAGAAGCAAATTATAGTTTTGGTTTTGTGACTTTTAAAATAACAGAAGGCTAAAGAGTGAATATATTCTGCTGTTTAACGATATAACAGTGAGCTAGTACAATGCAGGAGGTACGATAGCCCACAACTGTGATAAGAGGAACAATTTAGCAAGGCTGAAGCACACATCCACATTGTCACCACCCCACTAGACAAGCAGCAGCCTGGTATGCCATGGTGACATTCGACCACAGGTTCATCCCTTTTGGTATGAAGGACTATCACACATACTAACAATGCTAATGCATGCATTTTGAGTTTCCAAATTCATGTTTTACCAAAGCACATGAAACGTGTTGCTTGAAAAGGTTTTTTTATATGCTCAGACAGATCAGTTTTTGGGAGTACATTTGGAAACAAACAAACACAAATGCATCTACTTACATGTCTATAAGAAGAACCTAACTTGATGAAGAACAGAAAGGAAGAGCGGAAAAAACATTTACTAGCTCAAGTACACTGAAGCTATTAAAAAAAGAAAAGCTCTACAAAGGGCAAAAG